ATAATAAACTTGTCGAGAAAAAATTTTATCAAACTCCAAAGTTTTTTTTTGAGATTGATAAAAAAAAAAAAAAAATTGGTTAGAAAAATTGAGAGTTTATATATAATAAAATTTTATCAACCCGTGAAAAAAAAAAAAAAAAAATGCAAATTATATGTAACGATAAAATATAAAATAACCCAGTTTAAAAAATTTTGAGTGTGTAATATAAAAATTTTAATTACGTGATATCATCAAGTAAGTGATTAGAAATAATATATACAGGTTATTATTATATATTATAAAGTTATATAATAGATAGATAAACAAATATATATACTGTAGAAAAATTTAAATGGTTGGATGTGTAACATAAGACAGCTGATATAGAAACATGAGCTAGTTCCCCGCATTTCGTATTGAAACATAGGTGCATGGACTGACTGTGTTTATATTTTTTATACTAACAAAAGTATTATATACACAAATAAATTGCAAATCAATATATATACTACTCTTTTATACAGCAAATATAAACTTTAATTGTCGATCGATTGAATATAATGTGTAGCATATATTAAATGATGTGCTGATATGTGCCAATAAGGAATATCCTGTGTGATTTCTCTAATAAATAAATGTTATATAATATTATTATAATAAATGCTATACGTATAATAATAAATGCTATTAAAAACTTATCTTTAAAATTAATTAAATTAAATTAATAATGGATGACCGTGCATATTTTCGGTTAGTCGAAAGTTAAAAAATTTTTTATCTATTTATTTAAAATAGTAGTATCACATTTTAAATCACAGGGATAAACAATTTGATCCAAAAAAAAAAAAAAAAACGAAATCGCTCCTCAAATAACGAACCCCAAAAATTTTCACTAATAAGAAAATGATTTTTTTTTTTTTTGTCTTTGATAAGCCTTAGTAAGATATGATAGTACAATAACATTTAAAAGATTTGTTCTGTTTACAAAGAAACAGTATAAAAGTATTTTCAAAGAAAAAAAGAAAAAAAAAAAAAAAAAAGTGTTCACTAAAAAATATAAAAATCAAAGGAAAAAACTTTTCAAAAGAACAAAGGGAAATATTAACATTGTGTTCATTATTTGTCAATTGTTCAATAGCATTTATTATATGATTTTTTTTTTTAAAGTGTGCGAAAGGTATCGTAGCCAATATGATCAAGAAACCAAATTTTAGCCAATCCAACAAATTCAAGGTTCAGCCAACATACTTTGTGTTCATGTTCCTAATATTAGACGTGTCTTGTTTTGTCATAGTTTCCAGGAACCCGTGGGCAACATGTCCACCTGCAATGAAAAGGAAATGCATTCTATTGCTAAACTTTATTGTAAGTTGAATAATTATTTATTTAATAATAATTAACGCCACACAAAGAAAAATCACGCGTGAGAAGTAATCGTTATCATGCAAGGACTAACAATTTCTTTTAACTTGGAATTGTTACTAATGATTAGAGTAGTAGGGCAATATGAGTTTACACGAACTTCATATATGGCCGATGTTCATACTTAAACAGCATATATACATATGCGACGAGATAA